CTATCTATCTATCTATCTATCTATCTATCTATCTATCTATCTATCTATCTAGTCTATCTATCTATCTATCCATCAGACACTGCAGTATTTGGCAAGAATGCAGGAATAAACTAATGGCCTCCTGCAAACTCCACTCCCCTTTTGCTCCTCTTTTATTCCCTCTGGGAGGGGCCATTCACCATCCACCTGTGGCCTTACTCCCAAGTCGACCCCTGTTCTTTAGCAGTTCCCTTCATCCAGCAACTCTGTGCATGCACACACTGAACAGGCTCCAGCTGTTCGTCTGCCTCACTGATGTCTGACTCTGAAGGCAGCCGATAATTGTCAGACGGCCCTGATCCCATCTCTGCCTCTGTTGCAGAGCCCTCCTCAGAGCCTTCCCCAGACTCCAGGACTGGCCCATCTTCCTCCCCAACCCTCCTCACTGTCTGAATCTGCCGCCAGCACACCACAACAAAGATGCACCAGGGCATGATAATTATGATGTACCGATGCACGGTTGATGTTGCCTGGTAATGAAACATCTGCAAGAAAACCACCAAGCTCAGAGAGCACCAATTACGATCTCTGTGAACCCAACATTAAAATATTGTTCCAATGTTAAAGAGGGCAGCTTTGTACCCTCCAGGAGGAAAGTAATTTCCCTTATGTAAGGAATAACCTTAACGTAAAATATATAGTGGGTCTACATTTGGGGTAATGGATACATCTGCAAAAGGGACAACCAAATGAATATGGAAATTCCTTCCTGACCATATCTGCGAAGTTCTTAAATAAATCTGGTGGACCTCTCTAAGGCACAGAGAGATCTAAACTAGACATGACCCTGATCTTTTGATGTTCTTGATATGATATGAAGAACAGTTGCAGGAACTGGGCATGGCTGGTCTAGTGAAGAGAAGGACCAGGGGAAACAGGATAGCAGTCTTCCAATATTTGAGGGGCTGCCACAGAGAGGAAGGGGCCAAGCTATTTTCCAAGGCACCCAAAGGCCAGGCAAGGAATAATGGATGGAAACTGAGGAAGGAGAGATTCAACCTAGAACGAAGGAGGAATTTTTCTGACAGTGAGAACAATCAACCCATGGAACAGAAGTTGCCTTTGGAAGTTGTGGCAGCTCCATCACTGGAAGCTTTCAAGAAGAGACTGGATTGTCATTTGTCAGAAATGGTGTAGGGTCTCCTGTTGAATGAGGGGGGGGGGTAGACTAAATGACCTACAAGGTACCTTCCAACTCTGTTAATCTCTGATGCACATCTGATCTTCAACATTTGTCAATGTACTTGTGGGAGCTTCATCACTGGAAGCTTTCAAGAAGAGATTGGATTGTCATTTGTCAGAAACGGTGTAGGGTCTCCTGCTTGAATGAGGGGGGGTTAGACTAAATGACCTACAAGGTCCCTTCCAACTCTGTTAATCTCTGATGCACATCTAATCTTCAACATTTGTCAATGTAGTTGTGGGAGCTTCATCACTGGAAGCTTTCAAGAAGAGACTGGATTGTCATTTGTCTGAAATGGGATATAGGGTCTCTTACTTGAGCAGAGGGTGGATTAGAAGACCTCCAAGGCCCCTTCCATTATTCTCTTATTCTGTAACATCACCCAATGGCTAAGATCTCCATCTACATTCCCAACTTTCTTTTTTGGTGATGACAGCTGTCTTTCATTGCAGGGCCTCTGACGATCCCATGGGGGAGACGACACCGAAGGTAAGGTGGACATTTTGAAACTAGTTTCCTGTTCCGTTCTAGAAGTCCTCAACTTACAACCACAATTGACCCGAACAATTTGATTCCTAAGCGAAACATTTGTTCAGGGAATCTCAACATTTGTCCGTGTTGGGAATCAAAGTGTCCTTCTATCAACATACCCTGTGTCAGTGTTCCAAATATCATGCAGAATTAAATCAGAGTCCAAGGCAGAGCTATCCTTAAAGTTCCAATTTAATAAAACAGACATGTTGGCAACCATCTGTGGAATCCCAATTCTGAACACTTCNATTCCATTCCATTCTGTTCTCTTTCTGTTCTATTCTATTCTATTCTATTCCATTCGCCGTTCTCTGTTCTGTTCTATTCTATTCCATTTTCTGTTCTCTTTGCTTTCTGTTCTATTCTATTCCATTCCATTCTAGGACCTGGAAGCCGTTCAGCAACGAGGGCATTTTGCATGATATGAGCCGCCCAAGGGACCCCAAGAATTGTCCCCGTGGCGCAGCTGGATTTTGTGTCGGCTGTAATTTCCGAATACTCTCCAAGAGTGGAACCACAGAGAGAGCGCTGCAGTTGTCCAGACCAGGGGTGTCAAACTCAATTTCATTGAGGGCTGCATCAGGGGTGTCTTTGACCTCGGGAGGGCCGGGGAGTGTGGTCAGGGTGGGCGTGGCCAGCTCGAAGTCCCTCATGTCAGGGGGGGGGGCACCTGTGGTGGCCAAGTGCTAAGGCAGGACTTCCCTCAGACTCTCCCTCCCTCTCATAATCTTCCTTCCTTCCTTCTTTCCGTCCCTCCCTCCCCCCTTTTCTTCCCTGATGACGTTATCTAGTTGGGTCATGAGACCTCTGCAAGGAAAGAAACAAGCTCAGAGAGCACCAAGGACCCCACAATCATCCACCCACCTTCCCTCTGTCCCTCCTTCCTTTCCTGATGATGTTCCCTAGTTGGGTCATGAGATGTCTGCAAGAAAAAAAACAAGCTCAGAAAGCACCAAGGATCCCACAATCACCCACCCACCCACCCTTCCTTCCTTCCTTTCTTTTTCCTTCCCTCTTCATTCTCCTTTCTTATTCTGTCCCTTCTTTTTCCTTCCTTGCTCCCTTCCCACCTTCAATTCTTTTTCTTTGCCTTTCCGCTTTCCCTTTCTCCTTTCCTGCCCCTCCTTGCATGCTCAAATGCAAAAGGGGAAGAAACATTTCTCTTTTTGTTTTTAGTTTCTTTGGCCAGCCCTCTGCCAGCGAAAATGGAGTCCCGGGGGGTGCTGCTCCACCGGGCCCTGTTTTCAGCTGTTGACGGTCTCCTGCAGCCTTTTGCCAGCGAAAACATACCTTGGGGGAAATGTGTTCGCTCCTGTGCCCCATTTTTGCTGATGGAAGGGTGCAGGAAGCTGTCGTGGCCGAAAACGGGGCAGGGTGTATGTGTGTGGCCCCCTTCAAGCTCCATTTTTGCTGGCAGAGACACTGTGAGCTAGTCCTTTGCTGTTTCCAGGCCACTCCACGGGCCAGATCTAAGTACCCCCGTGGGCCAGATCCGGCCCCTGGGCCTTTGAGTTTGCTACAGACGGCATGATCCAAGGAGAGGGCCTGCATTTTGGTATTTTTTTTCAATATATTTTTATTATTTTTACATTTAAAACAAGCCTGCATTTTGGCTTTAAATTGGCCTCATTTGTGGCATTAACCCAGTGGTGAAATCTAAAATATTTTGCTATCAGTTCTGTGGGCGTGGCTTGGTGGGGGGTGTCATGTGACTGGGCGGGCGTGGCTATGTAGTCATGTGACCTGGGGGATCAAAAGACAGAAACTGACTTTAACAATGTCCTACTTGGGCAGGGTTGGACTAGATGACCTCCAGGTCCCTTCCAGTCCTGGATTATCCTCTGAAGCTGCTTCTATTGCCAGCAATGTAGTCCTTCCTTCCTCTCCTTTTTCCATCCCCCCTTTCTTTCTTTTTCTTTCTTTCTCTCCCTCTCCTCCTATCACCCTTCTCATTGGTCGTCATTAATTATTCCCGCCTAGCTGTCCTTGGACCCGCCTTCTACCCCGCCCCCTCTTACATCATTGACTCCGCCACAACACCGGCTATCGCCCTTTTCATTGGTCGCCATCATTAATCATTCCCGCCCACCTCTCCTTGGGCCCGCCCTCTTTCCCCCTCCTCCCTGACGTCATTGACTCCACCCCGGCTTTCCACGTATCGTTCCCCATTCCTCTCCACCTTGCGGCGATTACGTCGAACGAACTATCCCCACCCCTTTCCGGCACCGCCCTATCGGCTCTTAGCCCGCCTTCCACCGCGACATCCTCGCATCCTCATTGGCTACCTGAAAACCTCCCTAGTGGATACTTTCACGCCCCTTTCCGATTGGCCGGCCACTCTCTTCCCGGCGCACCAATCGGGTGTCGAGGTACCTCAGGAGCGTTCTCCTCGCTGAGGCGGCGGCGACCTGTCAGGAACGAAGCGGGGCGTTATGGCTGGTCGAGGCCGGCGCGGCGCGGCTTGGAGCCCGTGGATTCCGCTCCTTTTGCTGCTCTCGTGGCGAGGCGGCGGGGCCCGCGCGGCGGCGCATATCAAGAAGGCCGAGGCCGCCGCTTCTTATTCCTCGGAGGCCCCGCATTACTTGGACGAGGCCGAGCTGGGCGAGACGCTGAGGCGGCTGTGTGAGGAGGAGGCTCCGCGGGGCCTGGCGCGGCGCTTCTCCATCGGCCGCTCCAGCCAGGGGCGCGAGCTGTGGGTGCTGCGCCTCAGCGAAGGCCTCCCGCGGGGCGAAGGCGCGGACGGCGGCGGGCCTCCCCTGGCGGGCCGCCCTCAGGTGAAGCTGGTGGCCAACATGCACGGCGACGAGGCGCTGGGCCGGCAGCTGCTGGTGCGCCTGGCCCGGGAGCTGGTGGCCGGCTGGGCCCGCGGGGAGCCTCGCGCCCGCCGCCTCCTCAACACCACCGACCTCTTCCTCCTGCCCAGCCTCAACCCGGACGGCTTCGCCCGATCCCGGGAAGGGGACTGCCAAGGGACCGGCGGGAGGGAGAACGGGCGCGGCCGAGACCTCAACCGCAGCTTCCCCGACCAGTTCGGCGCCGCGCAGCCTGACCTGGCCGCCGTGCCCGAGGTCCGCGCGCTGATGGAGTGGATGCGGCGCAATCGGTGAGGAAGAAGAAGAGGAGGAGGAGGAGGAGGAGGAAGACGGAGAAGCGCACGTGGGGGGCGGGGCTTGCCGGGTCTGCGCTTTGAAGCGCCGCCTTGTTGCTAGTGGTGGCCACGCCCCCTTCATTTGGGGTTTAGTGTGTATAGAATAGATGTATGCAATACACACACACACACACACACACATCACATTACATTCTGTTATATCAAAGCACCTGGTATGCCCAAATACGGGAGGGAAGAGCTGAGGGAAGAGCTGAGGTGGCCCAATGGTTAGAGTGCAGCACTGCAGGCTACTTCAGCTGACTGCAGTTCTGCAGTTCGGCTGTTCAAATCTCACCGGCTCAGGGTTGACTCAGCCTTCCATCCTTCCGAGGTGGGTAAAATGAGGACCCGGATTGTT